TTTTTTTTGTGACGCAGGCAAGCAACCATGAATGCAGTTGTGACACCTGCTTGTTTCTCTCCAGTTTCCTCTTCTTCCAACAGGAATTTTATGGCAGGGCAGAATTTAATTCGCCTTTAGAATGTCTACACAAGGACGACTTTTCTAATTAAACGCAACCCCACCCACCCACCATAAACTATCTCTAATGCACTTGTTTACTTGTTAACAAAACAAACCGCCTCATAAAGTCTACAAATTTGTCCCTTTCAGCTTCCCTCTTTGTTTTTCCTTTAATGACACAAACAGCGTTTTAGTCACATCAGCCCCAAACAACTTTTTTTTTTTCTTTCACTTTTTCCGCCTGGCTTGTCAAGTGCTCAGCCTGAACGCTAAAGGGACCGCGTTGATTGGATCCACAGCTCCCGACAGGAGGATGTGCATTGATATCAACCGAAGCAAGAGACAACAAACTTAGAGTTTGCATGTTGCATGTGTGTGTGTGTGTGTGTGTGTGTGTGTGTGTGTGTGTGTGTGTGTGTGTGTGTGTGTGTGAACGTTCAGGCAGATGCAAACGCCTGGAACCTGTGCGCTCATCATTCCGAAAAAGCTCCGGTTGTATGACGCTTGAAATGGAGTACAATTTAACTTGGGGAGGTGGGAGGGGAGGCTGTGGGTCCATTTCATTGTTCCCCTTTAAGCTTCTTAGCTGTAAAATATTCAGATTGCGAGGCAAGGGAGGAGGAATTACGTAACGGTCGAAGCTTGAGAGCGTCAGGAGAAAGAAGAAAGGAGGAACTGATGAAGTGCGGAAGGAGAGTGGCGAAATAAATGAGAGGAACTAGAAAGGATGGGGATCGGAGGGAGCAAAACGCAAAAGTATGAAAGGGAACGCAAACATTTTAATTGATGTTTTCCTTTAAACTGCTTTGACTGTTGCTTTCACATGAAAACACTAGTTTCTCTCCCATATAACAGAACCATGGTCGTTCTGTTATATGGGAGAGAAACAGCATTTCCTCTCATCTTGCCGATCGTTGACGAGAAAACCACAATGCTAATTAGAATCCAGATGTCTCTGGAAGCACACTTTATGGCTGTAAAATATGCCACCCTTCTGCTAAATTTCATTGTTTTTATTATATGTGCCTATTAATCAGCATCCTAAAAGTCTAATGGCGTCCAACTCCCCCGCCCCCCCCCCCCCCCCCCAGTTTTATGCATAACATAGTCCAAAATGAGTCTGTGACACGGTTTAAGTTCCAAATCCGCATGGTTTGTCGTTAGCCTGCAATGGCCTTTGAAACCCAAAGACCTGCAAAACGAGTGGATTTGAATTCTGTGTCAGTGTGATGTAGATCCCGCATTCGCCATTCAAGTACCTGCTCACGTCATGGTTGCAATACGCCCACTCAACTAAGTCCAAATGCTGCTAAGGCGACAAACGAGCCGGAATCTTTTGCAAACCGCCAAACCTTTGTAATAGCTGACAACCTGTTTTTATTTTTCTTTTTTTTTTTTTTTTTTTGCCAGTACAGCCACACTTTGGTCAGTCAGCTTCAGAGTGTTCTCTGTGTGGCTGAGAGGTCATGAGCCAAAACCATGGTGGTGGAATTTGGGGTGGGGGGAGGAGGAACATGCACACACACACACACACACACACACACACACACACACACACACACACACACACACACACACACACATACACACTCATATAACAGTATGGCTAGGAAAAACTTTTGGGGAACTGACAACCCTGAAAAAGCAACAGCAAGCATGTTGGTTGAGGAAGCAATTAGACATGCCTTCGTGCACACACAACTGTACAAAATAACACCAAATTACAGAATTTATCTGACATTCTCTTGTCAGTCAGAGTTGCGCTTGTGGCATTTGAAATCGCCACATCAATTTTGAATGAACATTGAAAAATGTCGATTTGATGAACGCAGTTTTTATTATTTGCTCAAAGCAATCGCCGTTAATGTCAGGAAAAAGATTTTACTGTGATTTATTGATTTTTGTTCAGATCACAAGAGGAAACTTGTCGCACAGTTCTTTCTTCGTCCAAAGTGAACTAAGTAGGTCTTTATGTCCTTTTTAGAATTGAGGTAACTAAAGTTTGGCACTCTTTCCTCTGTTACTTGTTTCAAACATGATTAATCCACTTGAGTAATATCAAAATCAACACAAAATAATTCATTGGCAAAATGAAGATTTGAAAATGGTCCCAACAGTGAATATACTAAATACGTGGAGACAAAAAAATCAAATAATTATTTTAATCATTTTAGAATTTATTAAGATAAAATGCTCCAATCGCTTTGATCTTCATCACAGCGTCTGTCTCCGCCATGTTTTTGGGGTGAGGTCTGGCAGTATTCATTGTTTTTCAATGCTGAGCTGTGGCATCCTACATATTTCCCCCCCGAATATCTGTGTAGCATACGCCTAGGGAGTCGTAAGTTGTTTGTCTACCATTGTTTACCTCAGCTGATTAAGTGCCCCTGTCGGAGACGCTATTCAGTTGAGCTATTTTTGTGTTGAAATATATGCTATACTCTCCTGTCAGCGATCGTCTTACCTCTGGCACTTGGCGTAGGTGAAAAACAGTAATTGGATGTCGTCTACCCTTTATGATCCAGCTGGAAAACCGTCGCGTCACACCCCCTATGCCAAATGAGAGCCGCCGTGGTTGAAACATTCCATACGTACTGGGTGAGCACCGAGCCGGTGAGTCACGGCATCCTCGAACAAAATGAAAAGACAACTCCAACAAAACGCGCCGCGGCGGCCCTGTAGAAAAGGTCTGCTGGGTATTCATTATGGAACCCTGGCATATTCATTTAGATTGCCTGAATCTCTCCCATCGCTACAGAACGCGAGATAAGAAGTGTTCATGGAAGAAGTTAGATGAAGGCATCAGTTCAGGTTCTGTGGTCGGAGAACCAAATCCAGTGTCCCCCAAATGACAAGACAAGATGGTACACTCAACCGTTGCTCATTAGTCAGATGTGAAGCAATATCATGACAAGGCCAGTTACCATATATTCCGCACTAAAAGGCGCACCTAAAAGCCTTCCATTTTCTTAAAAGCTCACAGCGCGCCTTAAAATCCGATGCGCCTTGTGTATGGTCATTACGGTAATATGTCGACCCCAAAATGGCTCCTTGCTAGCGACATGCTTACAACGCAGAGTTCAAACTAAAGGCGACTGACATCTGATCGTTCTGTTGGTATTTCCTTGAACGTAGCTCCATCTAGTGGATGCACTGTAGATTGCGTCTTATAATGCGATGCGCCCAATGTATGAAAAAAAAATGACAAAATAGGCCATTCATTGAAGGTGCGCCTCATAATCCAGTGCGCCTTTTAGTGTGGAAAATACGGTAGGAAACAGAGAGAGGAATGATGGGGATGATCAGAGTGAATCTGTAAATTTGAAGCAAACAAGCAGTATTTTATGTCGTTTGTACAGTAACAAGGCAGATAGGGCCTTGCTGTTGCTTCTTGGAAGTGACTCGGCGAAGCGGGGGGCGGAAACAAAGCAGATTTGAAATGCAAATTTGATTGAGAAGATGTGGGTGGATGTGGAGAAGTCTGGAGCAGCGAGAGGGACAGGAGCTAATGGCAAGAAAAGAAGGATGCAGGTAGGAGTGTAGGAGTGGAAGATGTGTCGAGAGGGACGAGATTGAAGTGTAGAGAAGTAGAAGGTGAGGGGAGCTCAGTGGGACGCTGTACTCTGGGGTGAAAGTTGACATTCAGTCTGTGGAAATTTGTTTGGGGAAGTGGAGCTGCAGTCGAGCTCTCTCTACTTGCACACGTCCCCGCACAACATGTTTTCACTTATTTTAAGCAGTTTGTTCAGAAAACATCTTGCTTGACCTCACCTTGTCTTGCCACATATGCGTGCGCACACACACACACACACACACACACACACACACACACACACACACACACACACACACCAACGCGCACACAATTTTATTCCTTGCTTTGCGAGATCTCGCTCAACTCATGTGTATTGCTGATGAGGTGGGATGTGAACATTTATAGAACAGGCCCAACTTTTCAACTATACATTGAAACTCTTGAAACCTTTCATAGAATTTCCTGCAACAGTGGGACCTCAAGTCAGTGTCAAAAATTTGAACCGCCATCGGAGACCACTGACGTCATCCGCGAATCTGTTTTGAGGAACTTGACTTGAATTGAATCTCACTTTAAACTTGAAGCATGAGGTGAAAAATTAGTGGTAATAGTATTAAGTCGGCCAGGCGCTTCATTTATTACGCGCGGTAATAAAGTGACAGGATCTTTAGTAGATGTCTACATTAAATGAGGAGATCAAGGAGCGTTGCCTCATACCCCCAAAATATTTCTACCTCCTCCCCCCTCGCTGTTATGACGATGTGAGATGAAAAATGAAATCAAATCATCCCCTCCACGTGGGAGCTTATTTACGGTACTTCTGTAAACACTGCCACATGTCATCCTATTTGGGTGACGTCGTGCTTTTGGTGCGTGTGCGTGTCACATCCCCCACGTGTTGCGTTCAAATTTGAAGTTGCATTTGTTTTAGTAATGTGAACATTTTGGATTTGACGCTGAATTGGAATTGAGAATTACGCTGGACGCTGTGCACGTAGCCTTTGTTTTGCACTTGTATTACCATCCATTTTCGATAACATTTGTCCTTGTGTGGGTCAAGGCGCCAATCCCAGCTGACTCCGGGTGAGCAAAAAAATGCCGATATCGTGAATAAAACTTGCATGACAGCGAGCAGTTTGACCTTGGAAATGATTATTTCATCTTTTTGTTGTTGTTGTTGTTGTTAGCATTTCCTGTAGAAGGTCGCCGGCGTCCTGAGGCAAATTGTATTAAACAATCGAAGATCAACTGTCAATTGTACTGAGAGCATGTTGTTAAAAAAAAAAAAAAAAAAATGCAAGGATTCAAATGAGAAGTCATTGAGCAGATGATGTCAAGAGCAACTTTTGCTTTTATTTTTCAGCAACAGCCAAGCCAAGAGAGCTCCCTGAAGACGGTTGTCATCCAGGAAAGAAGGCTTCATGTAGGGGTCCACAATGGCTGGTGTTTCATTGATACACCGCAGATAATGGTGCTCGAGCCCCTATCAGGGGTCAAAGGGCGAGTGGACAGGTGAGCACCATTTTTACATCACATGTCAATAGATGGATTGCTTCATCAGTCTAATTTTATGACCGTCATGTGTAAGACTTTTTGTGCGTTGATGTGTGCTCATATCGTTTTCTTTACATTTCCCGCGTCGTTGAAGTCCTCATAGTCGAGACAAATACAACGTACTGACTCATGTATTAACCTCAACGAGATAGAAAGTGTGCCCAAACCTTTGACTGGTATTATCGATTTCCTAAAGACAAAGAGCTGAGAAAGCAGCGGGCAAAAGAAAATACCAGCTGTCAGAAGCTTTTCTGCTCCTTTGTTGTCTCCTGTGATTGCCATTTTTAGTAGCAAAGCATTCAATGTAAAAATGATGCCTCCAAATGAGTAAACATTAGTTGTCTTGATTCAGGAAGCCTACTGTATTGTCACATCTATGTTTCACGATCTGGCTACTCACGACAGACTAAATATTAATATTTCAAATATTTATCAACACAATAACAGATTGGCGGCCCGGTGTTCCAGTGGTTTGCGCATCGACCTCACAGTGCAGAGGTGCAAGGTTCGATTCCAGCTCCGGCCTCCCTGTGTGGAGTATTCATGTTCTCCCCCGGGCCTGTGTGGGTTTTCTCCGGGTACTCCGGTCTCCTCCCACATTCCAAAAAACATGCATGGCAGGCTGATTGAACACTCTAAATTGTCTCTACGTGTGAGTGTGAGCGTGGGATGGATGTCCGACTTTGTGTGCCCTGCGATTGCCTGGCAATCGGTTCAGGGAGTCCCTACTGCCCGAAGACAGCTGAGATAAGCTCCAGCATCCCCCCGTGCGACCCTTGTGAGGATAAAAGCGGGTGGATGGAATAACAGATTGTTAGATGCAACAATTTATGAAAAATCTAGTGTGGTGGACTAGGTTCTGACAGATTGATGGATTGCAGCAATGAGCCAACCAGCATGGCAAGGTCTCTGTATAAAAGATTTCTATGAGTACTTGTCCACACACTGCCTTTGACACTTGGCAACAGTTGAAGTGTGTGTGTGCTCTTTGTGGACCAGAATGTCTTTTTCTTTATTTCAACATAGCTTTTTGTGTCAGATGTTTTTCTTCAATTTGAAATTGATGAATACCTAATCCTCAGATTATTTTCAAATGGAGCCCCGCCATTAACAATCACATAATAGTTTATTAGCAGCAGTTTTTGGCTGTTATTGTCCGAGTGATAGTATATAATCCACAAAGTTGATCTAATTAATCATGACTGGTAATATTTTTCTTCACTTTGAATGTGATTAGTTAATATCCAATCCTCTGATTATTTTTTGGGAATTAATTCCCACCACTAATATTTCCTTAATAGTTTGAGGCAGTATTGCTTTTATATCATCCATAAAGTTGATCTCATCAGTCAGTACTGGTAATCAAATATCAGAGAATCATTAGTAAAAATAAATAAATGATAAAGAAATGATGAGATCGCCTCACATTCTGTGGTTTATGCAGTGGAAAAAAGGGCAAACGTTGACTTGACTCCACCTCACAATTCGCTCTCGCCGATGGAGTATGCAAACTGTGAATGGGAAATGCCACCCGCGCGCTCTAACCGCTTCTTTTCCAGTGCACGCTGAGCAAACAAGCGTTAATCCTTCAACGCAGTGATTTATGCCTTTAATGAGTCGGGCTGCATTCAATGAAGCGGCGGCTTGTCATTTAATTCAGTGTTTGTGCATGATCACTCATGTTTGGGTTTTTTTTTTTCGTTGTTGACCCCTTCATATGGGCGGGTGTGGTTATCTCCTCAGCTCAGCGTCATCATCGGGACCCCAGACTCTAGGCCTCCGCAGCAACTTGGAGCTCAGGCTGATCAATCACCAAGCCATAGCGGTTATCTTCCAGCTGGAGTACGTCTTCTCTGCTCCAATTGGCCGAGAGACAATGGTAAGGTGCGGGATATAAATATAACGTATGACGCACGCTTAAGGACAATACATTTGAAAATAATTTGAACAAAACTTTGCCTCACTTGACAGGTGACATTAGTCATTCATTTACATATTCATATCGAGTTTGGCCAATTGAACAACCATTGGTGGCTCACCTAAAATATGTTGACAGCTAATTAAATTATCTGCAAACATTTCCGTTCTATGTTTTTGCTAACCCCTTGAGCTTTTTTTTTTCCCACTAGTGATCCAAAACGCTCTCCTGCGGACAGAAGATATACATATCAATTAGGGGATTGCCACAAAACTGTGAACATGTCCCATTTTTCCTAAATTTATTAGCATAGGGGTGACCATACATTTTCAGCATGGAAGCTACTTATAAAATTAAGTCAAAATAAATGTTTGGCCCACTATAAAGATGCAAACCATTTTATACCACAATATCAGTTGGCGTTCCTTGCACAGCTTGATGATGCCATGATGCACAACACGACTCTTTGTGCCCATAGCCTACTGTGATGATTTGCACAAAATGAAAATCAAGACAGAGATGTTTAGTCCAGACAGCAGCTGTTGATGACGATCCTTCCAAATGATCATCGTTTACGTTGGGACAGTACCGAGACTCGAAAGAACTTCGCAAACCAGTGACTTCTTCTGAGGAGCAAGTTGCAAAATTTGAGGAGAACTTTTTTCTCGTTAATCCCATGGGACAATGCCGACTCTTCTTGAATGCTGAAGTCAAGGAAGTAACACATTTCTACTTGTCTACTTTGAGTTAGTTCCAAAACTGTACAGGAGCCGTCGATTTGAGCGAAACGCTATTGTCAGCATGTAGTGTCAAAATCTCATCCTCCGTCCCAGACAAGTGAATATGAAACGATGTCGCAATTTTTGATGAGAATCAATCATCATCAGTATCTTTCCGAAAAGGGTAGCACATGAATATAGAAACTGGCTGTAATTAGTGCAACTGGCATTTTAGTTCTGTAACCTTTCTCTTACCCAGCTCACTTTTCAGAGGACAGGCAGTGTTTTTCAGAAAAAAAAAAAAAGTCCTCGCATTTTATATGGAGGTGATCGATTTTTGGATTCTTACTTGGTACAGTCCCTTTCTTTCTCAGCAGCTATATGGTAGGCTAACTGGGCAACTCTATTGCTTCTTTGAATTTTTCAGCTGCTGCTGTTGCTTGTTGTTGTTGTTGTTGAGCAAACTCCAACTGGGTCCCAAAGTGGCTTCTAAAGCCGCGGCGTCCTGGGTACCTGCAGACCCAGTTGTTGGTCATTGATTGGGAACTGTTCGTAGCCCAAAGGCCCACCCAACACCGCGTGGAGGTCGTTCCCGAATTGGTGCTGCTGCTGTTGAAGCTGCTGCTTGTATGCTAGCACTAAAGTTGCTAACTGCTAAAGTTGTTCGGGTTGTTGGCCTAAATGTAAATCAAATGGCAAATGTATTATAGTGAGGTTTGGATGTCCATTTATTGTTATTTTTTTAAACCATGCCATCTACCCGAATTGGCCTGTGGGTGGAAATGACAAAATGTGCATCCCTGTATTAGCGTCTTTGTGCCTGATGTATATGCTCAAATTTTCATTTCTAAATAATATCCAAATGGAGGAGGAACTTTTGACGACACCAAATTTGTCATTTGTAATTTGTTTGTTCATGGCTCAGTTAGTTGGGAGAGTTTGCCAAGGAAGAATCGATGAGGCATCGTTGCAGCATCCTAATATATATGCTCATAAGGAATTGATTTGACTGCTACTGTCTACTTTCGTGGCTGTTTTCATATCAAATGTTCTTTGAACGAAAGAAGCTGTGGTCCAATCTTTGTTTGGATCTCATAAATTATGCAAGTGTAAATAAAGAGGTGTCCAAGGAGTATCTAATATACAGCATGTCAGAAAGCAGAGAGCGTATTTGATCCCAGAATAGCTTGCTAAATTATGGTTGTCTGGTGAGTCCAAAAAGAAAAAACTAATGTTATCCCAACACATTTTCCTTCACCACTGTGAAGCTTCCGAGGCTTGAACATTTGATGAAGTTATTCGATGCAGTGTTTAGGTGATGTGAATCCTTTGTGGCTTGCGTGGGAGTGGAGTGTTTGTGCTGCCGTGTGGATGCGTTATCATGCGGATCAACAGTCTGCTTGAGGGTGTAAATTGATAAGAGCAAGATAAGCGCTCTGTCTTGGAGATGACAGCGGTGATGCCTTGGAATTTCACTCACGTTCACGTGGAGTTTTGCCCGAAAAAAAAAAAAATTTCGCTCAGCGTCAGCTGACTGCAAAAAAAGTGTCATGTGTCACTCAGCTCACTTGAGAAGTGTGATGGGACACTCTCCATGTCCCTGTGCTGTGACAAAGCTGTCACGGATGTGACATGTTGCGCCCCCCCCCCCCCCCCTCCCACGCCTCTACTTTTTTTTTTTTGAAAGGTTTAACAGGTACTGAGTTGAGGTGTGCCTTCGGGGCAGACAACAGCATTTCACGCAGCTCGAAACCCTTTTTTATAATATGGCTCTGGGCTGGGTCTTATTGCCACCACTGCCTCTTCAAATATGAATCAAGGCCTTGTGAAAATGTGTTTTTAAACCTCAACATTTGACACAATCTATGTTTTGCTACTGCATCCTTGGAAATGTGCCACAGACTTTGGCAATTCACTGAGTGTTTGTATTCCGAGGCTATTCAGTTCATGTCCAATTGCTTTCACAACGGTGAGGAGTGTTGGCTGCTGGCTCTATTATTTTTGAATTGTTTGTACTGTGTAGCTTTGAATGCAAGTAATACAAAAGGAATACTTAAATGTCCAAGGAATCTCCACCAAGGCTGACGCACGGCTCGAAATATTACTCGAGATACCTTCAGAAAAGAATGGCATGTAAATGTATTTGAAATAAAATAGATTTGATGGATGGAAGGTTAGGTTATACAATCCCTTTATTGTCACTGTGCAGAGCAGTACAACAAATGAAATAATGCTGTATCCTTTGGTGCTTTTTTTAAAAAGAAACGATCACATGCCATCAAAAACAAAGATTGCACACAATTATTGTTGTATGTTGCGGAGACACCTGTAACTCGGTGTTTAAAAAAAAAAGAAAGAAAGTCATGCAGCACCCTGGGGATTGTTTGCGGAAAACCAGGATATCTTTAAAAAAAACAAAGGGAATGGAACATCAACTTTCAAAATAATGACAACTTGACTTAACAGTTGACTAGAATTATTCAACCCGTAATATAACAGTGCCATGAATAAGTATTTTCCGACTTTGCAAATGTAAGCAGCAGAGGAAGATAACCCAAGTAAACATTGAATGTCATTTTTAATTGGCTTTTTTTTTTTTTTTTTTTTTTTAAACTGCGGTGAAAAAAACTATTCAAAACTACTTGGCCCTGTGTGAAAAAGTAATTGCTCCCCATTTTAAATAACAATTCAGTGTGGATAATATTTTTTTGTGTGTGTGTGTGTGAATGACTCATTGCTAGTTATCGAAAACACTTCTTTTCAGTTGATGCTTCTGAGGTTGGCCTAAACAGCTGTTAGCTTTAAGGGCCAAGTATTTTTTTTCACACAGAGCTGGGCGGGAAGCCTTGAACAGTTTTTTTCCTACATAAACAAAAATGTCCATTCTTTATGACCAGTATGGTGACCTGTTTTGTTTTGTATTGTATTCCCTTCAGCGTAGCGCCATCTAGTGGTTACATAGTGCAACCGCAATCACTATTGTAGCTTCTATGCGCCTTCTAATGCTGTGCGCTATGAAAACAGTTAAAATAGGCCATTCATTGAAGGTGCGCCTGATATTGCAGAAAATACGGTCGTTTGATAATGACTTCCTTTGCTTTCATTTTCACAGTTTGGGCTCATGTTCATACAAAAAAAAACCAAAAAATTAAGAAGAGGTTTTATCCTTCCATGTCAAATTGTAAGATGTGCTCCTTGATGTCTGAATGAATGCTTTCCTCGTATTCTGACTATCAATTACGCCCCGCCATCGAGTCACACTGCATGTGGCCTTATTCAAAAGGATGGCGCTTATTTCCGTCTGCCTTGCTGATGATGACACACATTAGCTCATCACTAATGGAACCCTGGATCAATGATAAACGGAGACAGGAGGGACTCTGGGCCGTTTTGTCTTTTTGCCAAGAAACTAAACTAAACTCGCCAAGTGGCGAGGAGGTGGCTGCAGTCATCCAAAATGCTCACACGGGGAATGAGTGCCTGGAGGTTAAAATTGTAGCTAACAGCGCACAGGGCCAGAAAAAAAAGAAACTGGATTTTATTTTCTCCACAAGAAATAATGGAAATTGATCTGTTCCACGGATTTATTTCCATTTGTTTTTCATCACGTAAGTGCAAAAGGTTGTTTTACATCTCGTCCAGAGTAAAACAACATTAAAAAATCATTGTGGAGTGATCACTTCCCTTTGTTGAGGAACACTCTCCTTTTGTAGTTGGACTTTGGGCTTTTAATCAATCGTACTCTTTTGAAAGGTTATATTTTGCCAAACAAAAAAAAAGCCAAAAATAATGCCAAACGCTGACTGAACTGAAGAGAGGTGATCAACTTCAACTCAACCATTTTGTTTTGCTTCGCCTATGTTTTTTTTGTTTTGTTTTTTTTTTTTACTGCTTATTTTTGCTTTCCATTGAATGTCAAATTCCAAAGGTCATTTCTGTTGCATTTCTGTCTTTAGCGCTTCAGTGACGAGCAAGCACTAAGTTCCTTCCTTCAAAGCGTAATTGACAGCTCTCTCGAGCTCTTCTCTGACACTCAACTTGTGCGACTGAAAGAGGATGGTGACAGCTTTCCATTCACAACCATGAATGAATGTGCCTGTCAAGCACATCATATGTTCACCTTTAACCCTGACTGGATTTGAGGATTGGCACATTTCGACGACCGGGCGTCAAAGGAAGTCCAACTATTATTATGTGCCCTTTCAAAGTCGTCTTTATTGTGCCCTTTCACTGAGCTCTTAG